TCCGTCGATTGACTTTTACCTGAATCGGTACACCTTCGCATATGGCGTCAGCGGCAGGATACTGGTTCGAATCTCCTTGGGCGCACACTTTTTTCCCTGACTTGGACATTTCACCATGGACACAATGTATGTCAGTCCTGAGAACACCTCTGGAGTCGATCCTAAAAAGAAACTTGTGACACTTCCGTCGAATTACCCATCCTGGCCACAAGAGGTTCCCAGTTGAGGGTAGTAAATTCTGTGGGTGAAGAGTGTTAAGGAGGACCCGATTCGCAGGGAATCCGTCGAGTGACTGTTACCTGAATCGGTACACCTTCGCATTTGGTGCTCGAGGTGAGAAGATCAAGAAAGTCGCCACCAGCTGCTACTACCACCCACAGACCAACGGCGGCACGGAACGCGTCAACTACACGATGGTCCAGATGCTTGCGGTGGTCGTCAACGAACAGCAAAACGATTGAGACATACATATCCCGCACGTTGAGTTTGCCTACAACAATTCCGTGAACCAGTCTACTGGATTAGCGCCAAACGAGATCCACATCGGACGCATCCCGCGACTCCCGCTTTCGGTCTTCGATCGTCCCACGGTAGGTGGTTATCAAAGCTTGGCGCGCGATACCCCCTACTAGGAGTGATGACGTACCATTACAATGTATCGCTGGTTGGTGGCCATGTTTGCGTGTTTGCTTGTCGTTAGTGGTCTCTCCACCGTGTGCCTTTTTCTGTCTCTTATTTCTTGTTATTATCGGCTTGGTCCCTTTTTGTCTTCGCTCTTTTTATTTCATTTCTCTTTCCTCACTTCTGTTTCCTTTTATTTTCTTCTCTCTATCTCTTTTTTTTTTGAGCTCTTTTTCTCTCTTTTTCTGTGCCAGATGGCCTTGTCTCTGCTTGCGTTGTGAAGTACCAAGATTGAACCAAGGGGGTGTACCTCATTCTCTCCGGCCCGTGATGGTGACTCCTAGTCTCAGTTGTTACCTCGCATAGCGCGCAGAGGGAATCGGGGACTCGAGAATATCAATCTGTCGTTGATTTATATTGACTTGCAGACCCTGGCCAATTTATTTGAGTGTACCTTTTTAGGGTAACTTATCCTGCGACCACGGGAATCGACCGCGTCGAGTGTTGTTGTATCAGTACAGACATACGAAGGTACTGGGTAGAGAGAGATCGGAACGGTTTTTAATGTGAAAACAACAACAACAACAACAACAACAACAACAACAACCGTGCAAAAAAAGTACTCCCTCGCCGGGAATTGAACCCGGGTCTTGCCGGTGAGAGCGGCATATCCTAACCATTGGACTACGAAGGACTTGCTTCATCAAGGTAATTTTTTCTTATTGAACATGGCGACAGTATGTACTTCCTCCATTTTTCGTGGTGAAACGTTGTTGTTGTTGTTTCTCACATTCGCTCTAAAAAAGAAAGATTGGGAGCCCGTGGTCTCAAAACCCGGCATACACGACCCCACGAAGAAACAGAAAAAAATAGGGTACAAAAACCACTCGGAAGAGAAACAAAATGATAGAAAGAAAGACCAGCTACCGCACCAAACGA